AAAAAAAAAAACTGTAATTGGAATTTATTTCCGTAATAAAGAAATATTATTATTATAACTTAACTAAATATTTTACAAAACTTACCATAGAATGTCCAAATTGAAGGATGTTGACCAATGGTGGTTTTGAGCATGCTATGGAAACTTTCCACATAGTTATTTGTCCGTATATTTAACAAATACACTGAAAATCCAACTGGACCTACAGTATCGATCCAGTAATGTTGAATGTAATTTAACATATCATCAACGTATCTCATTATGTCCATGAGCCTCGCCAGTTATTGGATCACAAAAAATCCTCCAGTTATATGGAAGTCATTTGGCAATTGAGGGTATATATATATATATATTTATATATCATGATGGTCCAGCTACTTTTATAAAGTTGTGATTGTTCATTGCAAACAGAACTTTATTAACCAATAGATTTAGTTTAAAATAATAATAAAAAAAAGGCAGGTAAGTAGATGTCGCTCAGCTGTACAGTAGGTTACAAGTTGGTCATTGTTTAATGGATTGTATTAAACTTGAATTCAATGATATAATATCATTGTATAAGAAAACAGATTCTGAACGGAGACGGTTTGTCAGTCTGTATATTTTATATTGTCATTAATTATTTTATTTATTTAATTATTATTTTTTTTATTCGTTGCTACGGTGATAAACAAATTGTTAGAAATTAAAATCCCATTTTAAGCGGTTTTTCGTAATTTTTCAGTACTTTAATGTTTTTACAACTATTAGATGTCTATCCATTTAGGTACGTTATTAAATAATATGTATATTGCTGGATATCAAATGGCAAATACAACGCTAATGATTTTATGTTGGTATATAGACTTTAAATTAATTAATGTTAATAATATGTGATTTCCTATGATAATAATATTATGTAGTTGAATCATTTCGAAAAAATGTTCTAGTATGAGTGATTTAATTACGATTTTCATTTGTAATTAAATATTAATAATGTACCTATCAACATAATATTTAAGGGTATCAATCGTTTTTTAGTCAAGTCTCTGCAATATTAGTAACAAATTTACCTACAAAATGTGTTTGCATAGGTATAGAGAAATAGAGAATACGTAGATGGTACCAGGCTCGGGACTAAAAATTAAAAAGGGAAAGGGCTAGATTAAAAAAAATACGAATCACTCCTATAAATGTCAATAAGCAATATAATAAAATATGCTTCAAGTATAATACATTAATACCTATTTCTCCACCAACTTCTTTACTTATTTATAACTGAAATGAAGATACCTAGTCTTTGAAAATATTTAAGTACCTAATACCCAATGGGGGAGCTTCAATACCCATAACCCCCGGGCCCCTTGTATGCGTCTGTATATTAGTATATTACCCCAATATAAAATATACGAGTTCACAATGTGATGTCATATTGTATAAAAAAAATTGTGTGTGCGCTTAACCATTTTGTGCCATTTACATTCCAAATTTTAAAATAACAATTAATAAAAAAAATAATAAAACCCTGAGGTTAAGCTGAAATTACACTATAACCGTAAGTCGTATTTTTATTTTTATCGACAAATAAATCTTAATTTATTATTCTATAATATTTTGGATTCCGAACGGAGCAATAAATGTATTGATTTAAAATGATACCATGTGTTTTTTTTTGTCAGTGTATACAAATTATAGTAAAAAAAAAAGCTTAGATTTCAACTTGGAGCGTATTTTCTGTTAGAACATTGGATCTAGTTGGTAGGTACCTTCTTTTGGGAGCGTAAATTAATATATTCTATTCGAATGGCATTTTCGAATGCAGTTTTTTCGTCAAAAATGAACTCAACCTACTGTAATACTATAATGTCTTAAAGAGTAAAATTAACTACTTTAATAAGAATGATTTCATAAAATGTACTTAGTAATTAGTAAATAAGGCTGACAGACCGACTTCGCTCAGAATCGTTTTTTGTAAACTATAATAATATTGTAGGCTCAATGAATTCAATTGAACACAATATCCACCCTGATCACCAGATCCATCGGTTTAATTTGTGACTGACCTAACCGTCTAGATAGATAAAAAACTTGGAAAAAATTGGTAAAAAAAATAAAAAATTTTGGTGGAGACGGATCGAGGCGACGGCGAACGTTGACGAAACGGATTCAATTGAACCAGTTTCGAGAGTTCGCACACGACGCGTCAACAAGTTTTAAGTGTTGACGTGCGATGGAACATTATTAAGTATGTGTTTATTCCTTTATGAATCCGGGTGAGCGAGACGAGCGGGTGGAGGGGGATCAGCGGCAGTGCCACCGACGCCACACACCCCATCGCCTGCGCACAGCCCGCAGTTCTCCCGTCGACGCGTTAGAGCGTCGGGAGGTAGCCATACGGCCGATTTGACGTTTCGCCGCCGCACCCAGTCCCCACAGACAACTGGTTGATTGCAAGTATATGTATGTGCGTTTGCCTCAGTCCACACTGAGGGAGCGCCGCGGACGATTGTTCTGTAAACACCGTTGCGTCGACACCGTGCGGACGGTGCGCTCTCTACCGGTCTGAACGTGAGACCCACCGTCGTCGTCGGTTTGTTTTTTTAGGGTTCCATACGGTACAGAATGTGACAATATTATATTTCTGTTGCCTCTTTAACAGTAAATACTAAAACAGAATAAAATATTAAAATAAATATTTAAGTGAAGCTTCCCGTACAAGGGAGTAAGGGACATGATTTTTTTGCCGTTTTTGTAGATAATGGAATTATGGAAACCTTAGTCCGAATCACGATTAAAGATAGTACTATCTTTAATCGTGGTCCGACTCGCACTTGGCCGGTTTTTCAGATTTGATATCGTGACTCTTGTGAGGTAGATACTAGGTACCTCGGAACCACTGTTGATACCACGGACTAAGATATACAGGACTGGACACGAGATGAATATTGTGGTTACGAAATGTTTTACAACAGGCGGAGTTCGGGGGGATATTTTCCTTTTAGCATTACTAGCGCCGTCTTAGTGGATACTTATGGAACTAGATCACATTATTGTCATCTAGTTCCAAAAGTATCCACTAAGACGGCGCTAGTAATGCTAAAAGGAAAATATCCCCCGAACACTGCCTGTTGTAAAACATTTCGTAGTCAACCCCCCCACACCCTCCAGCCTTGTCGTGTCCAGTCCTGTATATCTTAGTCCGTGGTTGATACTATTGCAGTAGTGCAGTACACGTTCTATGACTATTAAATGTATTGTTATCGGTTGTGGGGTTGAGGACTTCTAGCACTTATAAACCTGAAAATATGCACTAAACGCTATTTGTGCCTATGTGCACAACTATATAGATACACCCGACACCGAATAATTATAATATATTTGTTTTGTTTTTTTTATATATATATGTATTATAGTGTAATAGCACATTGTGAATATTTTATATTAGGTTGTTTGCATGACAACTTAGCTTACCTACATTATATCATACCTATATAGTCTTAACAATAACACTAAATGTTATAAACTCGTGGACAAGCTGTTTTATATTAGAAACAAATTAAACAAGATTAATTTTAAAACATGCGATGTTAAATTGGCAGAGAAATAAAAATAATTAATAGTAATAAGCTAGACAAAATATGTCGACTGCACATTTACCTTGTCATGTTCAACAATTCGATTTTGTTATTCTTTTATTTTCATCTTATCCAGGCGCGGATCCAGGAATATTTTTTTGGGCGGGCCCGTAAATTTAACCGCATAAGATAATGCAGTAAAATTAAGATTTAATAAAGAATAATTTTCATTTAGTTATAAATATAATAATAGTTAAAAAAAAGGCAGGTAAGTGGATGTCGCTCAGCTGTACAGTAGGTTACAAGTTGGTCATTGTTTAATGGATTGTATTAAACTTGAATTCAATGATATAATATCATTGTATAAGAAAAACGATTCTGAACGGAGACGGTTTGTCAGTCTGTATATTTTATATTGTCATTAATTATTTTATTTATTTAATTATTATTTTTTTTTATTCGTTGCTACTAGAGTACAGCCCGGTCCTATAAAAATCGGATCGGCCCAGACCAAATATTTAAGACAATTTGTTAAACCGGATCAGACCAATCCCGAAAATATATTTTTCAACCCAAACCAATTTTGAACCATGCTTACAAACTTTTTATAAGCCCGGACCAGCCCAGCTCGGATTTTTATTTTTTTTTTTTTAAACCAACTCGCCCAACCCGGGATCATAAGTTTTTAATAAAAACCCGGACCAGGACAAATATGCTCATTGAGTACCCAAACCGGATCATCCATATAAAGCAAATTTATTAGAAACTAAATAAAATGTCACTTAAATAATTTCAATTATTGACCACCTAGTACCTAATCATCAAATTAAGTTGAGACTGTACTCAAAATTATTTGTATTTTTGCTAAAGGGTTTAAACCCCTTTAATATACATAAATAATAAATAAATTAGGTATGTATTCATCAGTATATATTTTAATAATTATTTTTTACCTTTTTTTTTGGTTCAACTATGACACTTGTTGAGTTATGCTTTCACATTACTTCCAGCAGTGATATTTATTTTACCACTATGGCTGTATCGTGTACCTATATTGTCTAATGTCTACTCAGTGCACATTGCACATTATATAGTTTAAAAGTTAAAATATTACTACTTGAGCCTGTAAATAACTATTTAAAATAATTTAAACACTATTACAATTGTACAATCACTATTATTAATTGTTGAATTGTTAGCTTCATTAATATGATTTCATGTTTATAGTTATTATTTTTTTTTTTTTGATTGGTAGGTAGGTAGTAGGTAAAGGAATTAAGAATTAAATAAAAATATCATGAAATTAGTTAAGAATACCAACAGTTTATATTATTTTATAAATTAACAATTAAGAAACACTACTCACTACTCAGTACTCACTAGAAACTCCTAGTGGCTTTATTAATTTTTATTTAAAAAAAAAATATAATATTATAAAATATGTTCTTACTTATTACTTGTACTTAGTACTTTTATGTTTTTAAAGAAGTCATGTAGAAATACAAGTGTGTCGACTGTTTCTCCTTTTAGACGACTTCTACGTTCTTCAATTATTCTCCCTGAAACACTGAAAACTCGTTCACTACTTGCACTGGATGCTGGTATACAGAGAGTTTGGCGAGCTAACTGAGAGAGTAATGGAAATTTCTCATTTTGACTTTTCCAAAAATTGAGTATGTCGGTATCTACATTTTTACCTACAAAACATATTAAATAATTATCCATTTCTTGCTCATATGACTGTTTTGGTTTTGGTGCATCATCTTCCCATTCAGAAAACTGTGATATATTCAGAGCTGCAGTATCTTCGATCGATTCACTCTCTACATTTTGGTCATTTTGTGCTTGTGCTATTTCCATTTTTAGAAGCTCTAACTTGATATTGTTTAGAATCCTTTTCTTTTCATTCTCGTCAGACACCATTTTCAGTTAGCTACTTGAAACTGTATAAAACACTAACATAAAGTAACACTAACACTAATATAAAGTGTACTATTATATATCTATGATAGTATCACGGTTTTGTTGATGTATAACGCGTTATAAGTACCTAATGGATATTTTGATATGATTAATTTTGGAATTTATTATAGGTACCTACCTATTATAGGTCAAATTTTGGTTTAGTACCATAGATATGTGTAATGTATATAATATGTCTTATACCTAGACTGACATACTGTCTCCGCTCAGAATCGTTTTTCTTATACAATGATGTTATATCATTGAATTCAAGTTTAATACAATCCATTATACAATGACCCACTTGTAACCTACTATACAGCAGAGCGACATCCACTTATCCGCTTTTTTTTTTTATTCGTTGGCTACGGTGAATAAACAATTGTTAGAATTAAAATCCCAATTTTAAGCGGTTTTTCGTAATTTTTCAGTATTTTTCCCGTGGCATTAAATAACTATTGAGAAAATCGAAAAATTACCTCTCTAAAGTACCATCTTGGTCCAATTTGCTAAAAGATAGGTACTATATGTTGAAATCAAAGCACTCCTTCTGGTAGAAATTTTGTATACAGGATATAAAAAAAATTAAAAAAATAAAAAAATAAACACCATTGTAAAACCACTAGCTTCCTTGCTTCCTTGCTTATTTAAAATATATATTTTAACGTTTTTTTAGTCGTTAAATCTGTAAAAATTGAACTAAACCAAAAAAAAAGAAACAACATTTTTTGTGTTCACAAAATATGTTTATTATAACAAAAAGGCCGCGAATAGAAGAACAAAAACCGAATTAAATGTGTGAACAACTTAACAATTTTGAATTTGAAATGACTTAAATTTAAAAGAAAAAAAAATACGACAGACAGGATAGACACAATAAACAAGGGGGGGAGGATGCGAGATGGCGATTGGTGCAGAAATGCAGTGTTGCTGGCCACTGGTCACCTCTGCACGTTCTCCGACCTGTCCCGCGGGTTGACGAGTGTTGCTGGCGCGTTTGCTCGGACGCTTGACGACCTTGCCCAGCCGGCGAGACCAGACCGAGACGGCCACGGTTTGAGAACACGGTTGACGGCGACGGACGGCGACTAGTGAGCGATGTTGTGCGCGTTGACTGTCGACGGCGTGACGGACGGAACGGCGAAGAACCAAGACGTGGAGCCAGCGAAAATGAGATTCTGTGCTGCGGATCCGGTGGGGACGATCGAAGCGGCCGATTTGGGATTACCGCTGGGCGAAAAGGCGAGAGCCAGCGGACCACAGCGCGATCCTTGACTTTCGGTAATTTTCGCCCTGGCGTTGTCCCTTCGGCCGCCGCGCGCCTCCAGACCCTGAAACGGTTAAGTTTCTGCGAGTCCGGCGCCGCTGACGTCCCCGTGTTCCTAGCACTCGAATCTCCGTACCACTCACCCCGTGCCGAGGTCTCCGCCGGTGCCGTCGTACCGAGTCGGTGTACCGTCGGGTTGGAATCGTTGCCCGAGCCGGTACATCTACTAGCCGCCGTCCACCGTCGCCGTCCACCGCCGTCATCGCATCACGTGACCGTAACTGCGGTCCGGCGCTCGCCGAGCCGCCAGAGGGTCTCGCGCGTCATCGACGACCGAGCGCGCGACGCCAGCGAACCCGTCGCGCCGCGGGTGCAGGTCGGAGAACGTGCGCGGGTGACTTACCGCCGCGCACCGTCCGTGCTCTTTCCCGCATCCTCCCCTCCATTCCGTCGCCGTCATCTCCTGTCCGTCGTCTTCGCCCAGGGGGTCTTCTCCTGTGGCGGTCTCGATTTTTTCATCCGATACATCGTCTTCTGGACACAAAACATCCTCCACTTCTGCTTCAGAAACCTTCGAATTTCCGTCTTCTCTTACTGTGTCGTCGTCGTCGCCGAGCGGTGCTGTCTCTGGGATCGGACCGAGCTCCGACTCTGCAGCAGACGACAGCGCGTCGCCGCTCGGCACTCCGCCACAGTGCGGGGAGACGGTCTCCTCGACGTCTTCAGCCAACTCCTCTCCGTATGCGCCTCCGAGAGTCGAGCCTTCGGGCTCCGACTCCAGGGTCTGAACGTCGCTGTAGTGGCGACCGTAACAATGGCAGACAGAAGTGGAGTGACTACAAGAACGACAACGAGATATTCGTCGGTTTCATCGGCAAAAGCGAGTTCCATCTTGTTGACCAAAATTTCTTCCACCATTTCCAGTAATATTATGTTTTTGCGGCTCGGCCGATGTTGTTAAAGTTTGTTGCCATAATTTATTTTTTGAAAGAAGATAATATTTGCGTTTGGATTTAATCGAGAATGAGCTAAATACAAATTGTTCAACACATATACCGATCTCCGAGAAAATTTCCCAGACGACGGCGTGTGTTACTAGCCAGCTAGTATTTTTATCGTTCTCGTCGGCCCGCAGCATTAGAATTTCAAGCGCGTTAATAATAACAATTTTATTTTATTTGCAAACAATTCCCAACATATTGTAAATTATAAATACAGTAGTAAGTCTGCTCACCTCCTATAAGCAAAAGCTTGGGCGAGGGGCTCTTAAATTAGACATTCATATGTTTATTTATTTAATTAAGATGTCTAGATCATAGGCGCAATTTGGGGGTGCTAATATGAATTTTGGGGGTGCTAAGCACCCCCCAAATTGCGACTATGATCTAGACATCTTAATTAAATAAATAAACATACATCATAATATTTTAACTATCATAAAAATATTAAAAGTGGCATTCGGGGACTGCCGCGATAAAGCTATTGCATATTAGATAAATAAGAAGTTGATATAATTTTAAATTTTTTTATTATTCTATTTATTCAGGAATTTGTATCATAGAAACTATAGTTTATGTTTTTATTGCTATAATATATTATATTTTATATATATTATTATAAATATATAAAATTAATAATATATTATTATATATTATATATTTATATATATAAATTTATTGCTATAGCAACCCATAACAAAACCATTATATTTATAAGCGCTTGATGTTCATAGTCGTTGTTATTTAAAAATAAATAACTGTTATCAAAATTAAATTATAATTTAGCTATGCGTTGCTATGGTCATCAGGTTGCTATAGTATGTATAAATAAACAAAGTGGTCACGCTTTTTCGTTACGAAAATTTTTTTTTAGTCCACTACACCAGACCTGCGATAAGAGCTATGCAATAGCTTAATAGGTTAGAAGTAGCGATGAAATAATGAACATTTTCGATACGCTAACGCCCAACAGTGAATTTCTAGCCCGCTAAAGTATTTTGCTACATTGTATATATTGTAGAGACTAGAGACGCTATAGCTAAAGTAGTGTGCTACTGTAGCGTACTACTCCCGACCACTGCCTAATACATGGGTTCGGCACCACTATAGGGTGGGTACCTTTTATACATTTTTGCTCCTCACCAAAAATGAGTAACACGCCACTGGGTAACTGCATAATGGATTGTATTAAATTTGAATTCAATGATATAATATTACCATTGTATATACAATATACTATATACGAAAAACGATTCTAAGCGGTGAATAGTCCGTGATCTGAAGTCTGTATCACACTATCACAGGCTACCTCCGAAAAACATGGAAACGAGCCCGCGCACTAACATGATGTTAGACCCACGGTTACCCGTATTATGGAAACGTTTACTGCCATATTGGCACAGAACAATGATATTGGTGGGGTATGAAATATGAATGTATGATATGCGGGTGACGGTTCCGGCTTCTTTCCCAATTCCCTATTGGCTATTTCACATTTTAATTTTTTACGATGCCGGATGCCATGAGCTTGACCATGACAAATAAACAGGCATGATCATTGATCACTATAATATAGATTATTTCACGCATATTTTATACTTCCCCAGACTTGGAAGAAAAACTAATATCATAGAAAACTCATGGAAAAAAATGTTATTCCCACTACAATTACATAGGAATTTTACTGTTTCTGCCAAGTCTGGGGAAAATGCGCAGTGATAGGAAAAATAGGTTTTTTGGTGATCATGCCTGTTTATTTAGTCATGACTCATGAGCTTGACAGTTGTCAGTTACTAAATAAATCCACGTTTTTAATAAAATAATAAAAACATTTTATAACGGGCTAGTGGAGACGTGGAGTGCGTTCGCCGTTCGGTCTTCAGACTTCAAATTCCAATACACCGGACGTAAGTACTTGTATCAATATTACATAGATACTTTTAAGTTTTAAATAATAGGTATATTGTGGACAAAGGCGGGAAGTGAACATATCGGTCGAACCCCGTGGGCGACAGCTTTCGCAGAAGACTGAAATTGCCTTCCCGCATGAGCCACACATATTATTTTTTGTCACTCCTCTGCATTCATTGATCACGGCAAAGGATCTATGCAACAACCAGACTATTCCATGACAGCAAATTCATGAAAGAAAAGATTTGGTTTTTTTTATGTTAAGCGTCATGGCGGTTATATTATGAAAATAAGATGTACCTAACCAAAAGTTTATGTTTTGTAAGAACCATTGTGTAGATTTCTGTGTCTGTTTGCGCAGGGCATATGCGCGCCCAGCACTTTTGGAGATTTCCACTTAACCACCCGGCACTATTAGGGATTCCCACTTTACCGCCTTCTGGACGGAAAAAGCACGCTTTTGAACCCTTCAACCCAGGCGCGGATTCAGGAGGGGCTATGGGTGCTCGGGCACCCCCTGTCATCTAAGGCAAACTAAGCCACTAATAAAATACATTTGTATTCAAAATTCTAAAATAGAAAGGTGTAACAATATTTTTTTTAGATTCTGAGCGGAGCGATGTGTGGATGATGTGTTTTAATACATTTTTAAATTTTTTTTTGTTTCTGTCATCACCGACCACCGTATTTGGGGCAGTACAACTGCTTCGATTTTCTTCAACAGTACATATATGTCTATATATATATCTCAATCGATGGGAAAGTGAATACAGTTGGTTCTTTCAGAAGGTCAAAATTTAAAATTCCAATAGTTTTAAAAGCGCCAAGAATAACGAAATAGGAATTTTTAAGCAAAATCAGTTTTTAACAAAATCAATTTTTTTTATAACTAAAACAAATACCTAACAGTAGATACATGAAATTTTCACTGAATGTTTATATAAGCATTAATTTCTGTAAACGATAAAATTCACAAGATCAATATATTTTGAAACACCCAGTGTCGGACTGGCTCGAAAAAGCCCAGTCCACGATTTGGAAAAAAGGGCCCCCAACATGGCGAATGTTTTGATTAGCCCAGAAAAAAAAACTCGCTCCGATTGCAATCCACTTTTCATGCACCTGGTAAAAAGTCACATGGAACATTTTTTTTTCAATACAATTGCCATCTTTCATATTAATTATCATACAGCCATATAGGCAGAAATAACTAAATACCTACGTACCTAACTAAATTTCAATCATTCGATATATTAACCGGTTTTACTATATTCTTTTCAATATAGAATTTATATTGAGCATATTCTCAAATACAAAGATTTTTTCTGCAGGTTCTAAGTAAATTGAATACAAGAGACCCATTTGACTGTTTTTGTTATCAGACAGGGGAAATCCCTCCTATCCAACCCCCCAAACTAAGCCACTGGGGCGTAGCCCTTATATTGGCTACACCATGTTCTGTGACATCAGACATTATAAAGACAAACACCAATTCAAATTGTGTCAAATTGTGCACGACACAATACTTATCCAAAATATAATAATTCAGTTAAAATCAGTGATAATGCTAAATAATACCAATTACTAAGCAGAGATATATTATATATATCTGTGTTACCAAGTCATACTCATAAGCCCGTATAAATATAATATAATATTATTTAATAGTCACAACAATTTTACACTATTCATAATCAATGATACATATTTGTATATAGACACTGGACAGCTATTAAATTCGTAGAATGATAATGATATAAGGCCATTATTTAAATGTTTTCCTTTCATATTTCATTATTTTAATATTCATTAAGAACGTCTCAAGATTGTAAACAAAAATACGTTTCCTGATTTGAAAAAAAAATGTTTATTTCGTGTTTCTATTTACTCTAAACGAATAATAATAATATTAATAGGTACAAAATCAGGGGCCTCCAATTACCATAATTAAGCCAGGGCCCCGTCCGCAATTGCGGACTAGCGGTCCGGGCCAGTCTGACTCTGGTTGTGTTTAGCTTGTAACAATGACATTTGAAAAATATTAAATATACAGTCACAATTTTTTCTTATAAGCATTTAAAGTTCAAATTTTGACAAAATACGAAAATGTGCAAATTATTTTGAGTTAAAAATACATAAAATTTTATTTTTAAATCTAACATTGGAAAATTTAATACAAGATTTCTCATAAGTATGTCTACCTTTATCAAAAAAAAAATATCTACCCGAAAGTCAAATTAAATTTTTAATCATTGGATATTCTCTGGATTTCTCATGTTGACATGTAGCGATTTTCTTATTTTGTTGTAATTCACACACGAATAACTGTAGATACTTGAATTTTACAGCATATAACAACTTACCAATTCCCTTACTTAATAATATATATACAAAATATTTTGACCTGTTTTGAGCTGTTTACTACGGACATTTTAATTTTTTTTAGTTTTTTTTCTTTAATTGTCAATAAATTGTCATTTGTTGGGCCAAAAAGCATCAACATTTAATACAATGCTCCTGCTATATTTTTATTTTACCAGTTGAAAAATTTTTAAAATACATACAAGCAAATTTTTTTTATAAGTATTGAAAGTTCGAATTTTGACAAAATGCGTCGAATTTTTAATAATTTTTAAATTATGTTGTCGATAAAAATGTATAAAATGTTTAGATTTTATAGCCAAGGATTGACAATTTAAAACAAAGTTCCACTTAAATAGGTAAATAAATTACTTTATTCACAAAAATATCATCAAAAATAATATAGGTAGGTACTTAGTAATATTATAGCCTGACTGTCTTCGCTCAGAATCATTTTTCTTATACAATGATATTATATCATTGAATTCAAATTTAACACTATCCATTCCAGATTACAGTGATCCAATTGTGACCTACTGTACAGCAGAAAGACACCCACTTTCCCACCTTTTTTTGTTTGAGCACCCCCTGTTAAAATCTTCTGGATCCGCGCCTGCTTCAACCGCTATCCAAAACCAAACTTTCGGTGCAGGTGTGACAAAAAATAATTTTCCCCGTTTGCTAACATGTTGCGAAATGCCAAAAACATTAATTTTTATCGTATAGACATAATGTATTTCTGCATAATAATAATAAATTATATTAAAATGCATTTGAATACTTTACTTAAGTACAGCGCCAGATTGAGATTTTAAATTTCTATCGGCCTATTCGACAAAAAATGTACCTTATTTCCTATTTTATCTACACTACAATCAAACTTCAAAGTAAACTAAACTCTAGTAAACTACAGAAAAGTCAATTCCTTTTATTTTTCACTTATCTTTATAGGAAGCTACCAAATAGATTAATAGAAGTATTAGAAAATGAATAATATAAGTTTAGAGCTAGATGTTTGCAATTTTCAAGTATTTCATCTTACTCTCATGACTTTAGTACAAACATTTTAATCAATTTTTATAATGTAAGTTTAAAATGTTATTTGGCTTTAGATAAATGTATATGTAGGTACCTATGTACTTTGTACATTGTCGATATTATATCTCGTATTATATAATATATTGTAATACCCAATACATTATATAATTATTTTAAAGTTTTAGCTTGATAATGATAAAAATTAGTTAAAATTGTATGATACAAAAGACTTCAGATTATTTTAAATTCTGAAAAAAGTGATGAATGATTTTACTATAATTATGTGTGTTATTTGTTATTTTATTTTTAATAATCCAGTTTTTGATAAAATCGATTTTATTTTCTTGGCATTTCTTACAAACAAATAACTGCAGATTCTTGACATTTTCCCCAAATATTTATACTAGCATTTTCCTCGGCAATTTCTGTACCTAAATAATATAATTTTCAAAATATTTTAAACTATATATAGGCATAAGAAATTTTCAATTTTTTTTAAGTTTTTATTTAATGATTGTCAATAAAATTTTATCTCCAATATTTTCTCTGTAGCTCGCCGGTTCAATCCGGGCCTGCGTAAGTGGCGCACGTATCTATATAATTTAAGAGAACTTTCAAGTTTTGGATCAATCGGAGAGTTTAACAGTTGATAAATCAGACTAGATATTGTTTATTCCAACTAACAAGATCATTTAATTTTTTAGCAATAACTAGTAATAGTCTATTTGTTACATTTAAAATATACTTTTTCAACTTCCTAAAAAAAATTGCCTCCTTAATGACATGTCTGATAGTGAAAACAAAAAAAATGAGTAATAAACTACAGTAGTTTCCTAACAACAGTCAAACAATTTATAGGTACTTTTATGTCAAAAAAAATTATTTTGAAATAACTGATTGCTCGCCTAGTTACTTAGGTATGTCGTAGGTACATTACCTGTTGGAATTATAATCAAAACACTATTTTACAACTTAATAATCCATATTAGATTTATAAAATGTATATAACACATGGGCTATTACAAAATATAAAACAAAAATAAAATTATAAATAGAACTCTCAAATGGTAAAATTAGATCATTAAATTGAGTGTTTAATATTTATTCTCTATTATTACTATTCTTCTATATTCTTTACCCTATAATTAATACTGAAATTTTATGGTATATAAATATTTAAAAGTTCAAGGTATTACTTTACTAGGCATCGTTTAAAAAAAAAACTTTTTTGAGTTACATGTACCTGTTGTGTATTATTGTAACTTGAAACCCATTGTCTCATTGTCCTTTTTATAAATGTAAATGGCAGAGATAGCTATATAATACTGTATGGTATAAACATCTAACTTAAAATATAGCTTTAACTTTTAAACAAAGACTGACAGCCAAATTCTTTCAACATACACAAGTCCTCCAAAAAAATGGTTAAAGTATTAGTAGTTAAGGTATTCGGGTATTCCTATATATTGTAGTATTATCACTGGTTAAATACATTTAATATTTGTTTTAGGTTAAAATGTTTACTTATACAAATCCTCGTAAGTCTCTTCAGGTTCAGTTACATAAAATTGAACAATCACCATTGACAACAAATAGAAAACGTAAATTATTTTGTGTAGACAATTTGGATGAAAATATCTCTCCATCCAAAGTGTATGATCCTGAACATGCTTTTCCTGAAACATCTTTTAATATGAATCCAACTGAATTGAGTCCTACTCTGAGTGAAAAATTTGAAAGTCTTATTTCAAAATCAAAGAATGAACAATTACCAATTGCCACAGTGAAATCTTCAACTTCTCAACTAATTGAACATAATACCATAACACCGTTGAAATCAAAAAATGTCAAAGGAGTTGAATATCTTTCAAATGAAACCTTTAGTTTAAACAGAATTCAAAATAACCAAGCTGACTCTGGAGTAAAAGCTTCATGTTCTAATGATTATAAAAAGGTAAGAAATTTAAATTGTGTATTTCTTATTCACTAAATATTTAATTTGTAGTTAGGTACATCAGTATAAGAGATTTCACAAAAATACATATTATTCAACCATTCAAATTCCCTAATTTCACACCTCTCCTCCCTTACATTTCCTGGGCCTCAACAATAAAAATAAATACAAAATAAAACAGCCTAGAATTATGGAATTATGAAGTAGGCTCATTGGACACCCCCTCCCCTTATTACCTATTGTATTAATTTGTATTGCAGTTTGTATATAAAGGATGATTTTTAATCATGCTAACCCTAATTTTTATGTATTTTAAATTATGTTTTAATATTAAAATGTGATTTTTTAAATTTTTAAATTTACTTAAAGACCATTTTTTTTTGAATTCTTGAGATTTTTCGTACCACTTCCTTTTTTTCCAATAGGAACACAATTTTTTAATTTTTAATTATTAGTACGTAGCAACCGAATGTGTTGTCTCCGTCTTACACATGTACGACAAAGCAAATTTTTGTTAGCTGGTTTCATTGATGTGCTGTCAGTTTTGATATTAGAGTGTGAATTGGTAAGAACATTAACTGTTCTCTCATTGGTTTTTTACAATATTTAAATTGTTATATGAATTATGAGTATTTTCAATTTTTCAAATACAGTGTGTTCTCGGTAATTCGAACCATATAACTAAATTCTCGACATCTCGAACAAATAAAATTCCCCTTTAATTAACAATCACACATTAAGATTTTGATAACTCAAAATTTTTAGTAAGTCAAATTGTTTTTTACCCTGTGAGCTTTGAGTTAACTGTATAATCATTTTTAAACTTTCATAAAAATCATTGAATAAATACATACCTATTATATTATTAGTTATTGTGTTTTTATTGTTCTAATGTTTATTAACAGATAACACCCGAAGATTTTGGTGATGAACGAGTTACCCGCTCACATTATAATCCAAAGGTAAAAGCAAAACCATTTAAAGATAGTAAGTCAACAAGTAAAAAAAGACCTAGATCCACCAGCCGAGAACAAAAAACAAAAATAAATTTGTTTCCTGATGTTACATTACCATCTAAGAAGAAGTCTATAGATATGAAATCATGTAAAAAGAAAGAAAAGACTAATTTAACTAAAAAAACAAACTCCTAAACAGTCTTCTTCGAAAAAAAATGTTTGGACAGAATACATGCATCAAGACAAACCTAAACGTATTCTATTGGAACAAGACAATAACAGAAAATTTTTCAAATCTAAAGTGATTCATAATGATACACCAAATAAGAAGTAAGGGTTTTTTTGAATTTAGTACTAACTTGTTATTTTTGAATAATATTTATGGTTTGTTTTAGAAAAGATAATGGCTTTAACTTTAAAGTTATAAATTGGAACGATGGAAATAGTAATAATTCTGGAGTTAAAGTCAATGAATCTTATTTAAATAGTCCAAAAATACTCAATGATAACAACATTGATGAAAATGGACAAAATATAAATAAATTAGAATTGTTGGAAGATAACCATAATGAGAACTCTAATGTAGAAAAATGTCTTGTTGCTTATTCTTCTCCAGCTGCTCGTCGCCTAAAAGAGTAAATGTTTAAAGTTGTTTAAAAATAAAAATAAAAATACAAACTATATTGTATATTTTTCCTAGAGTATCAAATTCTTCAATTGATGTCAATGACATGGTCATAAACGAACCAGCTTATATTTCTATTGATTTCAATGATACAATCATAAAACAATTTGCTGCTGTTGATGTTTCAGTTCTTGTAAATGAATCTTCACAAACTAACTTGTGCCCGATTTTCATAAATGAAACTCCTCCACTTTGTCGCACTATTTGGTAATTGTATACAAATTGAATCATAGTCCAAAAATTATATTATTAAATTATTCATATTAATCTAATTATACAACATAATATGTAAGCTAATAAGTAATAATATCCTTAGAAGTCAAAACATTAAAACTTAAAAAAAAAAAAAAATTATGTATATACATGTTGAGTTTTGATATTAATTAGTTCTAGTGAAAAAAAGAGTACAGTGCGAAAAGGGAGAAAAATTATTGATGATACTCAATACCAGATTTATGCAGGTCAAAAAAAGTTTGGTGGTTTTTTGTGCAAAGAATGTGGTCTTTATTATTCAAAGGGAGAACCAGAAGATGAAGCGGAACATGATAAATACCATAAAGCCAAGGATATTTTTAAGTATAAGGTATCCTAGTTTAATTAAATTTACCCCTTTTCTATACTTCGTTCCATGAGAGAGTGCGATTGGGCGGCGACCAAAACGTGTTCATTTCCACTCATCCCCATCACATTCATGTCAAGGTTGCCCAATGTCTGTATTTGTGGTAGTTTTAATAATAAAAAAGTAATAATCAAAATAAATTACAATTATTTCTTAAAAATAACTCATATACTGATATATTATATTATAATCGTAAGTCGTGGTAATATTTGTGGTGCTTTACTTAAGCCGCTGTACACAGAGAGCGGACGCCAAATGGTAGGGGTAATTTGACCTCGCAACGTCAGAGCGAATTCATTTTGATGCGTGTGGCGGTCGCATTCTCGGGGAACGGAGTATAATATACAATTACTAATTATTAACTAGTTCAATATAATATTAATGTACTTTAGAGCTCAAAAAATGAAAAAGTTATTTTTAAAGATATTGATGAACGTATAGTTGTAATATCTGGATCAGATACCAAAATGTTATGTTCAAAAGCTTTAGAGGTGATGTTATATGTTGATAAAGAACTTGGATGTTATACAGAATGTTCTGTTTTACCCACAACTAAAAAAGTACGTATTTTGTTGTAACTGCATTAAACATTTTAATATTTTATGTATTTATGTTTCAGGTTCACTTGTATATAAAAAAAAGACAAGTGATTGGATGCTTAGTAATAGATCTCATATCGCAGGCTTATCGTAATCTAGAAACCGAAACAGAAGACATGATTGTTGTATCTGAAGAATCTTATCCCGTGAAAGCAGGCGTTAACAGTATATGGACAAAATGGGACTGTCGTAATACTGGAATTGCAAGAAAACTGCTAGACTATTTCCGGTAAGGATTTTGATGATAAATAAATAATAATAACAAATGCTTTGTGTGCAGAAGAATATTAACTGACCTATTATTTTTTAGTAAGAATTATACGTTTGGTCATATATTGGCACTTGATGAAATAGCGTTCACAGTGCCTACACGCTCAGGCAAACAATTTATTAAAAAGTATACAAACAGAAATGATTTTTTAGTTTATACTGGATGGTAATTATTGCGGTTTGTCATTCCTCTTGGTTATCTTCATTTTTTGATTATTTCTAGCTATATTGTATTTCTTAGCAAAGTTTTGCCTTGATAGTTTCAGACAATAAGATCAATATAATAATATTAATAATATTTAGTATTCAAAAGTAATTTATTTTTGTTAATTTATTGTTATACATAAATTATTTTTTTTGGACCAAGTGTTATTTTTACATTTTGTTTTTTACATTGTTATTAAAAAAGAAAATAAATGCTTCTATCATTTTATTTTCATGAAAATAAAAATTATACTTAATATGTTTGAATTTATACAAAGTTTGTCAAAGGTGTGATCTAAAAAATTATTAATTATGTAAACATTTATACTATTGAAATACCTATATTAAAATAAAGTTAATAAGATTAAATTATTTGATATCAGATGTAGTTACATCTAATTATTTTGCACTCATTTTCATTGAACTACTTTATATTAAGGTGTAATTAGTACTTATCTATCCAGCATGGATGGAATAAATAAAAAGGTGACAACTAGCATTATTAATAGGTTTGTATAGCCATTTAGACATTGCCCGATGGCCGCAAATAGCGTTTGAGATTTGGGGGGGGGGACGGCAACCTTCCTATAAATTATAATAATATCTACTGAATAAGGAAAGTTTTTTCAAGAAATGTATTTGGGGTGAGGGGGCTTATCCCCCTTATTTGCACCTGCCTATAGGTAATTTCAGAATTTTATTTTCTGGAAAATTGTGGTTCGCTGTATCACTTTTTGTAATCTGTGAGTATAATTTCACACTTTAAACTTAATGGAATTTTATTTTCTGGAAAATAATAGTTACCACTTTCTTTAAATCTACGTTCTGTGATTGTAGTTTCGGGCTTTCGACTTTCTAGAATTAAAATTCCGTATAATAAATATTTTATTTTCAATATCAAAACAATTCTGGAACTTTAATCTCCAGTTATTTTGCTTTTTATATTTATATTTTTCTGTTAAATTTTCTTTATAGACTATTAATGTTCTGTTCATTTATTTTCTGGAAAATTATGGGCTCTCGAATAATATACAACTACAATGTGGTTGAGGCGTTGAGCTAATTTCGTCGAAGATTTAACGGCTGATTCATGAAAGAGAAATTGTCTTATCAGAGTGAGAATGGTTTAAATTTTTTAAACACAGTGTAGAGAAGAGAAGGTGATAATACTTCGTGAAGCACGGACTAACATGGTCCATGTGGTAAAGAAAGTAGCACCACAGAATAGATGAAATTGCATCTATAATTCTGTGGTTGTGTATCTAGCCCCTGCAGTTGTCCCAGACCATAGAACAACATAGAAGTTAACACTGGGCACCAGTACTAGTGGAGTACTGGATACAATTTTGATCAGTAAGTGTCGGCGTAAGACATAAATATCCGATATATATTCGCATTTTCTATACATGATAACATTTTTAAAATATTTCTTCTCTTTTTGAGCTGTTTACGGACATTGTCAGTTTTCAATTTTTTTAGTTTCTTTTCTATAAATATCAATAAAATTGTATTTGTTGGGTAAAAAAGCGTGGAAATTTGATGCAAGGCTCCTGATATATTGTTAGTTACAATAGCAGTTGAAATATATTAAAAATACAAAGGCACAATTTTTTTTTAAGTATTTAAAGTTCAAATCTTGACCAAATACGGAAAAATCACAAAAATTATAGTAAAATATTTTGAGTTGAGAATTCATAAAAATTTTTCATTTTAAATCAAGATTTGTAAATGTAATACAAGATTATTCATAAGATTGTCAACCTTTGTAAAAAAAAAAAAAATGTCTACAAGCAAATCATATTAAATTTTTATGAGCGTTTGAAGTTCATATTTTTACAATATTGGATATTCACTAGATTTCTCATTTAGCGGTTTTGTTATTTTATTGTTATTTAAAAACGAAGAACTGTAGATACATGAACGTTTTACTGAATGTTTATATTTTCATTTTCTATACACCATAATATTTTGAAAATATTTTGACTCTTTTTACGGACATTGTGAGTTTTCAATTTTTTTCTATAAATATCAATACAATTTTATTTATTGGGTAAAAAAGTAAAAAAATGCAAGGCTTCTGATATATTGTTACAATAGCAGTTGAAAAATATTAAAAATACATAGGCACAAATTTTTTTTATAAGCATTTAAAGTTCGAATTTTGACAACATTTATCTAATTTAATATGTAATAGCAATATAAATTTTTTTTTGGAAAAATTGTTACTCAACGGTGCTGTAAACTATCTAGATTAGTTTTGAAGTTCACTCGGAAATCCTTCTTCCACAATATTCACTAAAAATAAAATTTGTTCAAAAAAAGCCATCAACTATCAACAGGTATGTCCACAACGACCAAGTTCGAAAAAAAGTAATATTTTCTAAATTGTTTTCCCCTCAACGTATGGAACGCCATTTAAATAAATAGTATAGCACAGTTTGAGACGTCAAATTAAGCTCCTTCGTTTTAAAAATCTAAGTAATATAAACATCGTTTAAAAATTGTTTTCAATCCCTTTCCCAGTTAGAACAAACATTTTAAAAAATGTTTGCATCCTTTGACCCCCCCCCCCCCCCCCCCTCATGGGTCTACTACTGACAGTTCTGTCACCCAACTAGATAAGCCAAAAATCTCTACTCCTTGCTCATTGGACAAAAATAGTATGGATTGACAAAATATTAAATTGCTAATAAGGAATAACAGAAGTCATGACATAAACTCAAAAATTACATATTTACATTAATTAATTTAATTTGTTATGATTAATGTTGTCTATTGATATTATTGGGACTACGCCTGGCTTTTTGCACGATTGCACGAACACTCTGGTATGAACAATGAACATAGAACAATGAAACAATGAACTATGAAGTAAGTACTTATTTTGCAGGTCAGTAGTTGTACAGGACGTTACAGCACGGCTTTTGATAGTTCTATGATAGTTCTATCACGGTTACAGGTATAACAATTTAAGTGGTCAGAAATATCTATTATTTAATACTAAAAAAATTCTAAATACTGAATTCCATGATAAATTTAATTTGTCATGGTAATCACGGTATCAACTATATAGAATTTTAAAAAAAACACATAATCATGACTATAGAAGAATATTCTTAGATCATAATTATACAAATAGTACAGCGGTTCCCAACCGGGGGGAAATATAGTGATGATGAAATTACGAAAATAATTATGTTACTTTAAAATGTGTAAAGTTGAAATCACTAAAATAGTTGTTTATTTTTTCTTAGCGAAAAAAATTCACCTAAATTCTAATTAAGAGTAGGTTGGAGAGGGGGGATGAGATTTTAGTAAATTTACAAGGGGGGTATAGAATGAAAAATGTTGGGAACCACTGATCTAAGAGAATATTATTATGATAACACCGTGTTGGGCACGGACTAAGATATACAGGACTGGACACGACAAGGTTGGAGGGTGTGGGGGGGTTGACTACGAAATGTTTTACAACAGGCAGTGTTCGGGGGGATATTTTCCTTTTAGCATTACTAGCGCCGTCCTAGTGGATACTTATGGAACTAGAACACATCATACAAATTTCTAGTTCCATAAGTATCCACTAAGACGGCGCTAGTAATGCTAAAAGGAAAATATCCCCCCGAACTCCGCCTGTTGTAAAACATTTCGTAACCACAATATTCATCTCGTGTCCAGTCCTGTATATCTTAGTCCGTGGTGTTGGGCGTGAAGTGATAAAAGAGTAAGTTAATAGTGTTAATAGGTCTATGTAAAAGAGTTAAAAACACCGTCCATTGTCGACCGGCCACCGGGTCTTATCTCTTTTCTATGGGTGACCGGATGCATTTCGTTAAAATCAAACGTGATTATTATTATTAATTTTTTCTACTGTCATACCACTCATACCTATTAATATTTTCAATTTTGTCGACTCATCGTTTTAGTATCGTTCAATCTGTTAGTTTAGTCGACGTCCGTCAATCAAGTGGTGGTTCGCTCTGTAGTTACATACTCCAACGACGAAGAGAATGAAGAAAATCGCGATTTTTGGTGCCACCGGCATGACGGGACTGTGCACCGTCGAAGCCGCTTTGAAACAAGGTGTGACTTGAAGGAGGAAAAAAAACTATTGAGGATATTGGAAAGCTGACAGTTTCCCAAATGCTCGTTTGACGATTAGTTGAGACATGCCGGGACATGGAAATAAAAAAATCTTTGTGATTGCGCAGGTCTAGAAGTCAGAGCTCTCATGAGAGATCCCAGTCGTATGCCCGAAGAACTTCGCAAACAGGTAGAAGTGATTACTGGCGATGTTTTGGTCAAAGAAGATGTGGACAAGGTCGTTGAGGGCAGAGACGCGATTGTCGTTACTTTGGGGACCAGAAATGACTTAGGTAAGATAATATTTAATAAAATAACATTAAGTAGACTATATGGTCGACTTATGGCTAAGTTATGTGACCAATTCTATAGTTGTATAGTAATCAAATAACTTTTCCAGCTCCTACCACAATAATGTCCGAAGGGTTGAGAAACATTTTATCATCGATGGAAAAGAACAATGTGAAAATCGTATCTGTGTGCTTATCCAGTAATAATTGTTTATGCAATATTATAACGTTACACACTTGTTTGCTTTTTGATCGTAAAATTATACATTTTGTTAATTTCAGCCTTTTTATTCTACGATAAGCCCAAAGTGCCAGCAATGTTCCACGGGATCAATGATGATCACGAGCGGATGTTGCATTTGCTACAGGCAGCCGAATCTCTGGATTGGATTGCTGTGATGCCACCACACATTGCCGGCACTCCGTCAGGCGATTACAGTGTGGAAATTGGCTCATCTCCTGGTCGTGCCATATCTAAATACGATCTCGGAAAGTTCATGATAGAATGTTTGTCTAAACCTGATTACTATAAACAAAGATGCGGTTTGGCAACCAAAGTACCGGCTCCATAAACTAATATTTTTACAAAAAAAAAATGATGTTAGGAAATTAAATGTGTTACACAATGGAATCAAAATCTTAGGGCAAAATGGTAATCATTATATTACAATTACTCAATAATATGTAACGGAATAGATAAGGAAATATTTAATACATAGGTATATTAAAAAAATGTTGATGGAATTTGATATTAATTATACTATAATATAATGTTATATAATTAAATTTATTTATTGGTTAGTAACAAATTGTGTGTTTATTTTCCCTTCTTCTTCTTTTTATATTGTCCTCCCTTTCGGTGTTGAAGCCTGGGTGCATTCTCGGAAGGCATTTGAGCAGTCTGTGGTTTAGGTTGAGCCGCAATGTTTTTGATGTTACTAAGAAATGTAATAGTAAATTATATTATTTTTAGAATAGCACAAAATTTGCAACATTATGTTAGTGCTAAAATTAAATAAAATACAAAATATTTAGAATTGTATTTGTTTTATACTTTTATGGTGGTGATATATTTATTTGTTACAAAGGAAATTTATATAGTAAAATTGAAAAAGAAAAATTTTGATGTAAACTAATTACATTTATAAAACATCATGATATTCTATTTTGAAAAAAAATATTAAGTTTGAGCTATGGTGAAATGTACTAATTTCATTTTAAGTTGATATTATGTTAGATAAGTAACATTTTAATTTGAGGCAGTTATAAAGTTAACATTAAAAAACAAAAACCTTAATTGCTTATACTTTACGACATGAGCATGACTTGTCTACCAATTTTTCAAGTTTAATAATGTTTTTTCTTTTTTTTATTATTAATTTTAATTAAACACTAATCCAATTTGACATACAATACAGAGGACAGACCTCATGGTCATTTATCTTTTGTAATTAATATATTATTTTATGATAATTACCTATTCAAACATATTTATAGGTATTCTTAAAACTTTATTGCTTGTAGGTAATAAATTATACCCAACTAATGACTAACCTAGGAATTAATAATAACTTGAAAGTAATTGATGTGATGTGTGCACATCAATTAATAATTGGTTGCAAATTGTCATTAAATACAAATCATACCATAGACGCTATGTAGAAGGGTTGACCACATGCATTTTTAAGCACCCATTGAAATGCGCTATGCACTCCATAAAAAAATTTAGATCAAATTTCAAAATAACTAATGATATTCTTTAAAAAAATGTACTTAATTATTTTGAAAGTTTTTTATTTAACGAATAAATTTAATAAATTGATGGATAATATTATTATGGATGAAACAATAGACAATTATAATCAGTATGGTTTCGATAATAATTTAGATATATCTGAACTGTTTTGGGGGTTTTTGATAAAAATAGATCAACTAATTCTCTGTTAGTTTACATTGAGTTCTGATGTTCTAACACAATTAAAACTATCAATAATAAACTGTCGTGGTCAGTGTTATGACGGTAATGTAAAATATGTAAGTGACCATATCACTATTATTAAGAATGGATGGTTAAAGTTTTTATACAGTATTTTTTAATGGTGGAGGAAACCCATGGGGGTTCACTTAGAGCTCCCAATGATTTTTGAAATCTTGGTGCCTATGAAGTATACTCACAATTGTTCACTTGACACATTGCTGGCCCCTTGCGTTCCTTTACCAATGCCTGTTTCTTTGCTTCTCCTGTCTTTCTTCTTCCTGTATCCAGTACGTTCGTGTCTTGGTAACCAACGTTCAGGATTAGGAGGCACGTCTGGGTTGAAATTTTTGGGCAATATAATCTTTCTCTTCTTCTTACGTTTCTTCTCCACTTCTGTCTTGGATCTGTGTAATGAACAAGACATTAATATAAATAAAATAGTTTAATATATATTTACAGATAGCTAGTGGTATAACGCAGAAAATAGTTATTCCCCGTGAATAAGGTTAGGCAAAGTGAGAGTTAATGTAGTAGTGGTATTATAATTAATATTATTATTTTTTACACACAGTGATAACTGTTTAGGGAGGATTTCCTAGATAGGAAATTTTATCTACCTGGTACTATAAAAATGCAATTTTCTCATTCCCTAAATTTAAAATATCTCAATAACATTGAATGACAATTCAAATTTTTTTTCAAGAATTATAGACATTGGAATGTTACTTGTTTTTATAGTTGTATTTAATAATTAATATTATTCTTTTTATCAAAAAACCCCAACCAAGATAAAACCATCTTGTCAATATGATAGTAAAATAAACTCTATTAAGAATTTAAATACGCTAAGGAAGAAAATTAAAATTTTTTTGAGCATAATTGTATTCTCAACCTATTCCTGATCAATTCCTATTAAATAATTACCCTGCAAAATCTGGTTTCAATGTGGACTTTTTGATTAACTTAGATCCCATCATCCAGTTAGTATTCTCAAGTGAATCTATGTCAGTATCTTGGAGGTCCAATGGAGGAAGTTGTTTACTGTACATTTGAGCTTTTTCCGGGTCAAACTAGAAGGAAAAATAATTAATCAATTATAAATTAAAGTTATTTTGATTTAATGTTAATTCTAGTTTATAGACTATAGTGGCAAAGAGTGTCTTTTAAGAGTGTTATTTATATTTTAAGAATTATTGATAAAATATTTGATTTAAAAAATGTTAAATATGGTATAAACTATAAATGTCTTGATTTTATTTAAAGTTAGTTTCTTTTATCATTTAACTCACCAAATATAAGTATCATGACTGGTGTCTCATAGTAATTTCTACACATGTAACGTTTGGATGAGCTGTGTTTGCCAGCTTATAGATAGCTATTTATAATTAAATTGTTTGTCGAACGTTGTAATATGTACTATTGTAGTATGATAAATATTAAATAATAATATATTTTACATTGATAGAATGTGATAGTGATATAATGTTATTGTTAAAAATATTCTTTAATTACTGAGATTTATTACTGCTGATAATGATAATTTCATTGAAGAAGGGTAAATTTTTTTATCCATTTGGTTTATCCACGTTTTACTACAATTGATTTATACAAAGTTTGCCATTGTATGCTTCCGTCTTTCCATAAAGTAAACATAGGAAAACGGAAAAATACTGAACAGGGACTAGTTTATAATTATATATTATATAGTTAAAAGTTAACTATGCTTAACAGTGGCGCAAAATGGGGGAGCTAGGGAGCTTAGCCTTTTGGCTATGATTTAGCCCCCCTAAAAATATCCCTTATTGATTTAGATATAAGCTCCCTATGGGTTATTTTTAATTAATGGTTTTGTTAGATGGGCAGTAGCTCCTCCTAGAATATTAACCATAGTTGAGCATATGGTGCTTAAAACTCATATTTTTTATCCATTAAAAACAGACATTTAGTTTCAATTCCTTATTGAATAATAAAATTTATAAATATTAAAAATAAATATTTATCAAACCTGTGTGTAGGCGATAATGAGTTGCGCCAAAAACTTTTTATTATTAGGATTTAATTCAAGTAGTCGCGTTAGACGTTTAGCAGCTTCCTTGGGATCTTGTTCCCGCAAATGTAATTTTGCAAGTTGTTTTAATAAAATGGTTATTTTTGAATTATCCACCTATTAAACATTTAAAAATTTGTAATCCATTTTGAAGAATTATGTTGAATTTTAAATAATAAATAAGAATAAAATGTTACCTCTTTTTGACTGTACCAAGACAAAGTGTCATTAAATAAGTCAGATGCAGCTTTAAAATTGTCAACATTTAAATACAGTGTAACAAGTGTGCTCACAATTCCAAGTTTATACTTAAATTCACCAAGATTTTCCAGTAAAGTAATTGCTTCATTACTGTTGTTCTAGAAAAAATAAATATAAATAATAATATACAAACATCAGTAAGTAGTCAATATGAAAGCATATTTTGAAACATGAAATAATCAATTTATTTTAATTAAAAAAATATTTTTGATATCATATACTAAATAGTAAATAGTATTATTAAACTACATCTAACTTCACTGGTTGATAGAAGAGCAACAATTTACTGCTAATCTATCATTTTTACGAAAGCTCTTGGACGGATCAATAGACGCTCCCACTCTTCTCTCCAGTATCAATTTTAAAGTACCACAGCGTTCCCTCCGTTCTTATACAACATTCTCCATCCCAAATTGCTCTACAAACTACGGCCGTAATAATCCTATCTATCGTATGATGCGCATAGCAAATGAACACCCATCATTCCCTACCTAAACTAATCTTATTGTTGTAATTGTTATTTACTGTTCTATTAAAAATGTAATTATTAATATTTAAATATTTAAATGTAAATTTATACTTAGTGTACACTTGTAATGTAATTGGGCTCTGCCCGTAATGTTTGAAATAAATAAATAAATAAATAAATAAATAATCAAAATCAAGTGATAATGTTTCCAAAAAGGTTTAGTAAATTTACTTTTAATTTAACTACAAAAACCATAATATGCATTGTTTTAAAAAATTTAAATACTCAAATATATTTATTTATAGTTAATTAATGGAAATTATTTTAACATTTTATGCAAGACAGGGGTGTACTGGCTAAGGTGACGGGTGAGAGATACCTGACTTGGTCCTGGCAAAAAATGTTGACTGTTTGAACATATTTAGACCGATAACTTATAAATATTTTATTATTAGCCCAAAATTGAGCTAAATTTTCTTTTTCCCCCGAGACCAATTTTTATTCCCAGTCCACCCCTGATACAAGTACATCATAAAAGATAACTCTTTTTAATGATTTGAACTGTATAACCATAGTTCAAGTCTTAAAAATGTTAAGGATTCACACGGAATTCAAAAAAAATGCATCACTAATAATTTTAAGTTAAGTCTGAACTCTTTACTATTATTAATAACTGTATATATCACAATAACAATTGTTATTTAATAATAATAATAATAATAATAAAATAAATGAATCATAATTAAATATTTTTAAAAGTAACAACCATATTGTTTGTACAATAGTTTGACCACCACTTGCTGTTCTCTACATTAAGTGTACATTAATGTGATATTTATACTCTGCCCAAAACAAAATACCATATAATAACCACTTTCCTTGTTTCTTATTTTTAACAAATCTGTTTAATTTAGGTAAAAATAATCATATAATGTACTAAAGAGATGTTAATCTAGTGCTTTATACAATATAAATTTTTTTTTTTTGAATAATTGTAAGTACTTATAATCAAGTGAAGTTAATAAAAAAGCATTCATAATCTTTAATTAGTTAATATATTGAAAAAATCTTATCGGCATTAATTATTACTTGCTAGGTCATTTTGTGTTAGGTTATCTTTACATAGTTTGAACAAGCTTGGCTACAAAATAACAAATGTGACAAACACATTAAATCTGTAAGTGAACACTGTATTTTTAAGTTTAAAAATAAGCATTTTATCAAATTATTGTACTAAAATAGTGTAAGGTGACCAAACTTTAGACAAAAAAACTAAACTTACAATTTCGGCTTAGTCATTTTTATATTTTAAAGAGTTTACGAGGCCCCTATTAGACAAGTGAAGGTGTATTATTGGAAATGGTTATGGCCATTAAATAATATTATTGAAATTATAATAGGACCTTATTTTAAAATTATAACCAACAAAAGTTTCTGGTAAGTAATTACTAATTTGAAATTTTTGTTGGGGTCAAGCTTAATTATGTTTAAATCACTCCAGGTTAAATAGTGAAATATAATAAAACAAATTAGAATTAAGATATGAAATTGAAAAATTAATAATGATTAGTTTTAAATTTCAATATCAATATTTAAACTTCATACCTGTAATAATAATAATTTTACAGCCACCAAGGTACAATTGAGCTTAGCAGTGGGATTTTCTTGTTTGTATACAAACTTCTTCAATAAATCAATAGCTTCAGAATTTTTATTTTGACGCCATAACATGACTGCTTTTAATAGTATAATATCTTCAATTAGATCAGGATATTTATTTTCAATGTTGTTGCACAATTGAGTACACTGGTCTAGCTAAAAATAATTAAATAAATTAAATATCTATCATTTAAAAAGAAATATATTTATGTGATTATCTCATTTATTACTTGATTAGTGATCAAAGCAAAACGACAATGATTCAACATGACTCTTTTCAACTGCCAGGTATTCAACTTCTGAGTTAATTCATCAGACAATGTTGACTTAAGTTTTTTTTTCGAATCAAACACATTGTGTTCCCGATTTAGCACTACCAAATTGTTTGAAGCAATAGCTAGAGATCCAATATCTTTTGGCTTGTACTTTAATACGTCAGTGTATTCAGCTTGTGCTTCTTTATCACGACCTAACTTTTGTAAGCAATAGGCCCCTTGCACTCTGAAAAATAATGGATTGGTTTAATACAAATAACAAAAATCTAATGTTTTGTTAATATTATTTATGCTAAAATCTATAGATAAAAAAAAATTGTATTGAAATTATAACGGATAAATTATAAACTATTGGTTTATTTATATTTTATAAAGTACAAAAAACCAACTTGAACTATTTATTTATAAACAATTACGTAATTTATGTAATAGGTATAGTTTGAAAATTGTAAAATGTAATTAATTATATTAATCATAATATTTTCAAATGAATGTCATTACTCATTATAATATGTACAAACAAACACTGTTATGATTATATTGTATTTTGAAATATTATTTAAGTTTGAATAATTAATTTATATATCAAGTTAGTGGCGTATTTAGGGGGGCGGGGGGCAATTGTCCCGGGGCGCCAAATTCTGAGTCCTCAAAGGGGCGCCGTCGCTAGAGGTTATAACAAAATTATTTTTTAACTTTATTGGATTTGTTGAGAAATTATATTTGTGATAACTGATAAGGGAATACCTGTATCTTTCTTATAATATCTTTTACATTTCTATAATTATTATTTCTATATAATATATATTATATATATATATATAATGTATTTTATTAAATTGTCGTAAAAAAAGGCTAAAAGGCTGAAATCTAAATTATAATTTAGTTATTTAATTGTAAAGGTTGAATTTTTATTAGGAATAAATGGAGTGTTAATGGTAAAATAAGTGTTGTTTAAATTAGTGGAAGCATAATCATAAATGCAATAAGGGGAAAATATACATTTTGGGTTATCAATTATCACTTTTAAATGGCTCGAAACCGATTGAAAAAATTTCCTGTTTTTGTTTTGGATTTAATACCGACTTCCAATTTTTTCAGATTTTGTTTTTGATTTTGTTATCCGTTTCAGTTTTTAAACGGTTTATACCGGTTTCTAAAATCGATTTCAAGACCTGGACTATTTACATTCATTCTTAGTTTACTAATTTTTTTTGAATTCCTGGATCGAGCGTCCGATCGCCTGTTGTGTAAAGTAAAATTTCAAAAATGTCAAGATACAAAGATTGTAAAAAAAAATACCGTTTTTAAAATTATATTTTCGGTTTAATACAGGTATCCAATTTTTTTTTGGTTTCGGTTTTTTTGACGGTTTATACCGGTTTCAAGCCCTGCAATATTAACTGAGAGAAAAAGTAAATTGTAAATGACAAGGGGCTTAAAAGTTTTTGCGACAATGAATAAAAGGAAACTGAGAAAAAAGCGGGGCCAAAATCGTAAATACCTCACAGTATCAAGTATATTATTTTATTCATCCAAGTGTTAAGTTCTAAATTTCAAAACTAAATTAAATCTAATGATTTTATATTTTTATATAACATTTATACACAATGTAGCAGAAATTTATGAAGTGAATATCTATTTTATCACAAAACGAATGTGACATACATTGTTAGGAAATAGCAAATTCAAAATATAATTACTTAATAGCTGTTAGCTCTTCTTGAATTTCTTCTTCTGTCGCTTCCTCCTCTTCCAATGTATTTCTACATGATTTGGCAGCCTGATCAAGTAATTCTTGAGCTTTTTCAATTTCTCTTCTTTCAATTAGTACACAAGCAATGTTATACATAAATTCATAAGTGTTATGTTGCTTAACAGTTGGAATGTCATATTTATTCTACAAACAAAATATAAAATACATTTTTAATTGAGTGTGAGTGAATAATGGACTAAACAACTTACATCTCCTAACTTAGAAAGTTGAGAAATAACAGCTGTAAGATTTGATTCCCTTTCATTTGCAAAACTGTCTTTACTCTGTTTGATAATATCTCGATACATGTCAAAACATTCATTATACCTAAAATTATAAAGAACAATGTAGTATAAATTACAAAACATATAACCATTAAAAATGTAATCTTTATTCCACCCATAGTTAATATGGGAAAGAACAGGTTTAGATGGTCAACTGGTCATGTTTTTAATGTGCACAGAGGATAATAAGAACGGTTTTTTGATAAAGCACAAATTTTACATATTCATAAGTAAAATACTTGGTAAAATTTGTAGGATTTTAAACTTTAATAAATCAATGATTAATTATAAGGTACTTTTTGAATACTAAGAGTTAAAAAATAACTTAAATATATTTCGTTTGTAGTATACCAAATGAGTGTTTATTATGAGTATAAGCTGAACATAAAATATTATCTTACCTTTCCAACTTATAAAGAATTTGAGCTTTCAATTCTTTAAAACTGTGTGCAGGGTTAGGTTCTTCATTTATCAGTTCTAATGATTCTTCAGAGCGGTTTAAGCGATACAAACAATAAGCTTTTTCAAACGTAAATTTCCTAGACAATTATAACACACAATTAAGAATTTAGATATATGAAAATTGTCAACCAGCCAATGCAAACTACTTACTGTGACTCTTCATTCTTCAGTATGTAGTTATATGCGTCTTCTATCTGGTTTAGATGGATCAGACATACAACTTTTGATTGAACCAACGACAACTCTTCGGGAAACTGAGGTATATCTGAGAATAACGAATACACACAGGGTAAAAGTTTGTTAAAATAAAATAAAAACTATAAAAATGACTATTCACGTTTCTCGACGAGTTTAATGATTCTTTTGTATTCTTCGGCCGAGTCCAACTTTTCGATTTCCGAAAATACGGAATTCAAAATGGATATCTTGGACATGATCGCTGCGAACTGTCTCTGAGCCAAAGGTTAATTTTAAACCAACATTAAATTACCAGCGATAGGTTTGACAGACAACAGTTTGTCTTAAAACTTACAGTAATCTCACTCTAAATATTATGAAAACAATTCTCGTACTCAACACGATAATGAAACTGCGTAAGTACCGTACGGACTACGGGACTGGCATAATAATTATTAAGAAATTAATTAATCATAATAGTTAATATTATGTTATTAGTCTATAAATATTGTGTAATAATTTATATTTTATTATCAATAAATTTCAACTTGGTGCACGGACTAAGATATAATGGACTGGAAACGACATGGTCGGCGGGGATCGGGGGACGGCCACGAAAAGATGTCACTTAGCTGATAAGAATACTGTTCTTGAAGTTTTCAGCGCTACCGGTGGTTTTATTTGGCTACACAATTTGTATCTTAGTCCGTGTTAAATACAGAGGGCGCTGTGAACTCCAAGAACAGATAGCGACCCCCCGCACTTTGCCTCTTGTACATACATTCGTGGCCATGATAAGCTGCTCGTTTCCAGTCCATTATATCTTAGTCCGTGACTTGGTGAAAGGCGATATCATATTTTTGATGACGTCTTATCACGTCATTCGGAGCGGTTGTTGCACTGTTGCATACCATTACCGTGGTCGGCTACTTGCAAAACACTTCTCATATACCGCTCTTTTCAAAATTTATTTCTTCGCTTATCTCGAAATATAATATTTGATATTCTATATAATTTGAACACCCCACAACCTTATATGTATTTTTAATTTTACCTTCTGATGTAATAATAGGTATATAATGTTCCCCTACACGAACATGTTCAGTGGGGCCCATTATCTTCTTGAAGAATAAATAAAAAAAATAAATAAATAAAAAATAATTTGTTATTTTACTATACAAAATTGTTGATATTTATTCTACGAGTTATAAACTATTTTTGTTCAAATGTATGTTATTATAATCATTAGAATAAAAATATTGTTAAAAAAAATGTGTATAGTTAATTTCTAAAATTATATATTATTATCAGTTCATACTAATGTGAATAAATAAACGTATTTAATTACTGTTTATCGAACTAATAAACTATTGAACAAACATTAAAATAAGTTTACTAAATTTATTTATTTTCTATTAGGACCGACTAGATATACTTAAACGATTCCGCTACGAAGTGACTTAAAGTGGCTTAGAGTCGTGGTGAACATTTATAAACCATGATGCTCAGCATATATTACAGTACCTACCCACTCTTTATCCCCTTAATATAATATAAAGTACATATAATTATAATGTGACTAAAAATATTTTAATTTTTGTTTTATGTTATTGGTTACCATAGTGTATCCAACCCCCCCCCCCAAAAAAAAAAAAAAAAAATTCACCATGACGCCTTAGCGTCATAAAACCCCGTTCACCTCGCCATCGGTTGTTTGTATACTTTGGGCTTTTGCATTATAAAAGATGCTGAAATCAAAACATAAAAAATGTAAATACAGCTTGATGATTAAAGAATAACAAAAATTAATACTCCAATTAACAATTAAATTGTAACTAAATATAAGTTATGTTTGTACTTTGTATCCAAGGATGTGCTGAAGCCATATTCGAAATGGACCGTTACGTACGTTACACCCACTGTTCAAGAAACTGTTACAACAATTCCAGTATTGTACATACATGTTAACATAACTTCATAAGAATGTATAACGTTAACTAACTGGAAGGTTCTATAATGTTCCATAAAACCATGGTAGTAGGTAATAATTTTATATATTATAAGGTGTGTTTTGTGTTCATGTACATAATCGTGTGTATTATGATACCGCCGTGGTCGGTAATCATTTACTCTCATTTCTCAATATTATGACTATTATAGTCTTTATTGGCTAATTATGCGGAAAAGCGTTGAAGATATTGCCCGGACAACACATACAATGATGATTACAATTTACTCTAATGGAAGATGGTAATAATATATTTTAATTTATATTTAATTAAGATATTACTTAAATGACCGAAGAGTACTTAAATCGACAACATCGTGTGCCAATTTCCTATGTTATTATATAATTTATACGCTTCTTAGTTATTATTATTAGATTCACCTACGTTATTGCAATATATAATATGATATAAATAAATTTTTTTTAGTTTTTGGCTCATTATTAATAACTAATAAGTAATAACTGCGGTGCACGTGTATAAGGTATATCTGGTTGCCGACCTCCGCGGCGATACGGCGAACGAGTGACGAGACGTCGCCGCAGTGTCTCATCAGGCTCAGACCGAGACGGAGATTACTCGCGCACAAGCATGTAGGGGATTTTTTTTCGGTCTTTCCCCAATCCCTTCCCGAATGCGCGCGGTCGAGGGTCACAAGTAATTTGGTCGCTTTAAAACTAATCCGAGGAATGTTGATTGAGGCCGAGTGTAGGTATATACCAGTATGTACCACGCGCGGTACCCTGCACGTATGCACGCTCTCGATGACTCGGCAACGATATGAGGGAGGGGTAGGATTCTTCTGGAGTTTAATTGATTTCTTTTCGGGTTGTACGTTCGACAAGTCGGGCCGCCGAGCGTGTCGAAACTTCCGGGTGTATATATATATATATATATATATATGCTTTTCTTTTCGGAAACATTTGCACAAAGGCCCGCAAGATCCTGCACCGATACACACAATTTATGTACACCCGCAGACCAGCAGGACCGTATAGTGTTCAGAAGTTTTCGGGGGTTTCTTATACTGCAGGTACATCGTGTGGCCATCGATCCCGATGTCACACACCATATTATTATTTCATCCACTGCAATCGATTTTACATAGGTTACATTTTACCTATCATATTATATATTTAGTTATTATAATATATTATTCTTGTGTTATATTCTTATTCTATCAGGAAATTAATGAATTTTAAACCGTTTAACTGAACTGATACAATAATACTTTACTTCTCCTTTCTCCATCTCCACATTAACTTACTTGACACTGATTTTATAGAGTTAAAAGTCAAAACGTGTCTACTGCGTAGTTATAATAACTATGTATATCAACTCATATCTCGACGTACCTACTTGACGTAATATCGATTTGATTTGACTAACTCGATATAATTTTTTTCATAAAATGTCCCGCCTTTTTTTGTATATTATATTATTATATAATATTATAATAATGACGAATGTGCCCTGTAAGTACACGGCACCGTGTTGACAGTGCCGTAGCTAGGACTGCCAGGGGGGATTTGGGTGTTTAACCTCCCCCGTTGACACCCCTCCTCTAATATACGAAAACTGTAAAAATCTTTATTTAATTTATACTTAAACCCCCTCAATTTCATAATCTTGGCTACGCTACTGCTTGTTGATATAGACGAGTGTGTAGAAACTGCAACAACATATTAATATAAGTACACGTGGTTTTTGTGTTTAGGTCATTTATATTAGTTTACTCATGTTTTTTTATTAGGTACATATCATTAAAAAAAAAAAAAAACAACAAAACAAACAAAAAAAGAAGTAAACAATATATATAAATGAGGATTACATGTACATCATCATTGACATATTATATAGTTATATAATGTTATATTATAGTATAATGGGATAATAACTATTATTTCATACATAAATGAGGAGTGTGACGTGTAACGCGCTTGTTTCTGGAACATATACACACATACAATATATATATGTCATCATTACGATTAGCTTAATATGGTTTGACTGTTATTACAATTATTAGGTATAGGTACATACCTATAAATATGTACTGTTAATCGTGATAATATATATTATCGTATATATAAATAATATAATAATATGAGAAAACAACTTGGACTAATTTAATAATAATAATAATAATAATAATAATAATAATAATGATAATAGTATAAAGTTAACGCTAACAAAAGGAAAAATAAAAAATGCCTTGTGAATATCGTTATTATATATAAGATACCCCGGGCCACAATTTTTTCGCATTACTTTTTGTATAATAATAATAATAATAATATGTCACATCGGAAATGAAAAAAACTTGAACAAAAGTCACGCGACATTTTTAAGACGACCAGCAACGTGTGCGTAGTACACAATTATCGTAAAAACGTATACGAAAAATAGGAAAAATCATATTTAGGTTTATATCATTTTATAAGGAGTTGAGGTCACCGCGTAACAGAAAAAAAAATGTTATTCTAAAAAAATAGTAATTGTAGTCAAAGTACCCGCACACATATATAATATATTTAGACGCAAACTGCCTAATTATCTCAAGGGGGTGAGGGAGACTAAAAATGAAAGTTAAAATCGATATTTTAAAAGTCAGGAGTATTCGTGACAAATATCAAAATAGTTATATAATATATTATAGGTCCCCGAATCCTCCATCCCCTATTTGCGCCCTCATGTACCTATATCTATATATTATATATTATCGTTGAACGATGGACGGGTAAGTCATCAGTCTTGGGAATAAAAAAAAATTATTATAATAATAATAATTAATAAACCTAATATGACGTAGGTATACTGTCGCGCGTATAGACGAGAAGAAGAGTAAAAAGAAAACCGTAATAACACGACGTATTCGAGTAAAAACAATAATTATATTGATGAACATAATATAACCTATAATAATATAATATTATATTATATTATATTATACCTAATATATTATTACATAGTGATCGAGCCCAGGGCATAACTGTTTTCATTGAACTATTATTAAAAATGTTACATTATATTATTATTATGCGTATGACTATGAGTAAATTTTTTTTTCATATATGTTAATTATTGTTAATATAATATTATCCTAGCACACTCGAAAAACTGTTCAACTATTTTCAAAATTAAAAAAAAAATAATAATAATAATTGTAAAACATAATATTATTATAAAACAAAAGACTAGTACATAGTTTATAGATTCTTTTCGTGCACATAGATATGATATAGGCACAC